AAAGCTAAATGTTTAGCATATTAATATTAATGCAGAAAGTCTCTAACACCTTGGAGTGTTCCTTTTCTTGTGTAGAATTTATATATATGTTTAAAGTTACTGTATCATTAAAAAAAAGCTTAAAAATGTAATTGATCAAAAATTATTCACAGTATATTGCACCCTCTTCTGGTAAACTGTAACATTACAATTCTGAAAAAAATCTGACGAACACTCTGCTATACATTCATACTGCAAAACTATCTCTTTTTAGACCCGCTTCTCCTCACTTAAGCACATATGAGCAAAGAAATAGTATTAATGGGGAGACTAGGTTGTTTTATGACTTAAGCTTGCTCATTCTGATGAAGCTGTATAATCCTTACCACAAAGGCACATCAGCAAACGTAACCGGATGCCTAGAAAAAGCAGAGGAGCAAAATCTGCTTGCCTCAGTAAGGTTACTAAGAGCAAAGTGCAGCTTTTGTCTTCATTATGATAGACTCATGGACCATGCCAATTTCTATTCTTCCATGTAGGTGAATGTCTGCCATTAACTCTCAAGCAGGGGGGGAAATGTATTACACACCATTAAAGCAGGGACAAATCATGTTACCTCCCAAGACTAGATAGGTTAGACTTTGCTGAGTGAGTCTATGGACAGATGGAGTGTGCATTTACATACAGAGTGGAAAGGCAAATTGTGTTGCCACAAGAGGTCCGAAAATGCCTGAGTGTTTCATCTGCCCCTGCGTAGTGATAAAATTTAAGTTGGAAGCAAACAAAAAAGGGAGAGTATAAACACATCAGAAAAGCAACATTTTAAAGTAGTCTTGTTGTTTCAACTTCTGTATTGCCCCATAGAGTAAAAACACTCTCTGGGCAGTTAGAACATAATTATGCAGGAAGCACTTTGCTCCCCAGTGGGCTGGGTACTCATTTTACTTACGCGGAGTCAACTTTGAGCTGGCTACCATTGGGATTGAACTCACATCAGGAGCAGAGGCTTGACTGCAGTGTTAATAAGGATCTGTTTGAATGCCTTGCTTGTGTACATGGAACACAACAAACTCTGGCATCTGAACTGCAATGGGACATTAATTCAAGGGAGAATGGTGAAAGTTTCACACTCCACATTCCTCAGTCAGACACTGACCTCAGCTTCTGGGGACTCTGATACATGAAGGTAGTGAATCTGTTCTAACCAGCTTTACAAGGAAACTTTCTGTTTATCAGTCTGCCCTTTTCTGCCCTAATTACCACTGGACAGACAACCCAGGACTCTGAATAGCTTCCAGGATAAAATAGGGCAACATTAAATTGTACAGCTTAGGCCAGGTCAAACCACCATTAAAAAACATATCTATGTAGACCAACAATAGCTAAACACAAAAAATGGACAGAAACTGAAGACCCTTGGAAGCACACAGGAAGTAGAGGAAACACTACTTTCAAAAAATATGTGTACTTTAATATTTTCATTTTCACATTTCAGCGTCACAAAAAGTTTGAGTTAGAAAGCATTTTGTAAATGTTAACTTCTAATTTAGAGAAACATTTTACAGGTCTCCAGATACTTTATGTTCCTCCACTCGTCAGCCCTACTAAAGGCAACCTATTAAAGGTAACCCCTTCACGGATTGCTGCCTTGTTGTGGCAAAGGGGCTTGATTAATTCAGAGAAGCTATGGGCTATGCCGTGCAGGGACACCCAAGACGGACAGGTCATAGTGGAGAGTTCCAACTAAACGCAATCCACCTGAAGCAGGAACTGGCAAGCCACTCCAGTATCTTTGCCATGGACAGAAGGAACAGGCTAAAAGATATGACACTGGAAGATGAGCCACTCAGATTGGAAGGCGTCCAGCATGCTACTGAGGAAGAGCGGAGGACAAGTATAAGTAGCTCTAGAGCTAATGATGTGGTTGGGCCAAAGCCAAAAGGACACTCAATTGTGGGCACACCTGGAAGTGAAAGGAAAGTCCAAGGCTGCAAAGAAAAATACTACATAGGAACCTGGAATGTAAGATCTATGAACGTTGGGAAGCTGGATGTGGACAAACAAGAGATGGCAAGAGTAAACATTGACATCCTGGGCATCAGTGAAATCAAATGGACGGGAAAGGACGAATTCAGTTCAGATGATTATCATATCTACTATTGTGGGCAAGAATCCATTAGAAGAAATGGAGTAGCCCTCATGGTGAACAAAACAGTGGGAAAAGCTGTCCTGGGATACAATCTTAAAAATGATAGAATGATTTCAATACAAATCCAAGGCAGATCTTTCAATATCACAGTAATCCAAGTTTATGCACCAACCACCAATGCTGAGAAGACTGAAACTGACCCATTTTATGAAGACTTACAACACATTCTAGAACTGACACCAAAGAAAGATGTTCTTCTCATTATAGGGGACTGGAATGCTAAAGTAGGAAGTCAAGAGATAAAAGGAACAGGTAAGTTTGTCCTTGGAGTTCTAATAGAGTTTTGTCAAGAGAACAAGCTGGTCATCACAAACACTCTTTTCCAACAACATAAGAGGTGACTCTACACATGGACATCACCAGATGGGCAATACTGAAATCAGTTTGATTATATTCTCTGCAGCCGAAGATGGAGATGCACTATACAGTCAGCAAAAACAAAACCTGGAGCTGACTGCGGTTCTGATCATCAGCTTCTCATAGCAAAACTCAAGCTTAAACTGAAGAAAGTAAGAAAAACCAGCGGGCTAGTCAGGTATAATCTAAACCAAATCCCTTATGAATACACAGTGGAAGTGAAGAACAGATTTAAGGAACTAGATTTGGTGGACAGAGTGCCTTAAGAACTTTGGA